GAGACATCAAAACCAGATAAAGAAAAGGTACTTGGGCGATATGAATAATAATTGAAAGGAAGAGCCGATAAAAGTTATTTATAACCTTTTTGAGGTACCAATGCCTTTAGTAGCCCTGGACGTGAGACGTTTGAGTAGCCGGAAAAGGAAATTGTCAGGGATTATACAAATAAATCCAAAAAGACAAAAATATGACTTTCAGAGAGAGTAGTAAATTCAAAAAAGTGGGATGTTGTGGAGTACCGGAACACCCCCACAAGATGGACTAATCTAAAAAGATAAAAAGCAACGCTCTCTTACTGAGAAAGAGGAACTTGAACAGAATTGAGCAGATAGTTTGCTGCCACAGGCTTGTCGAACACTCTTCTGCCTTTGAACAGCGAGGAACCTAGACGAGACTTTGCCAATGAACAGTCTTATTTGAGGAGATAGACAAACTCGACCCTGTGTATACAGAGTCTACGGGATATTTTTGCCCGAGCCTACGTTGAAAGCCGACCTTATGCCACACCCCGCTTTGTGGGGAGGACTTGGGTTAATACCGAAGTTGAACAGAACTGTGGTGAAGTTCACGATTAACTGTTATTCCAGTAGACTGTGTTCTCGAATGTTAGTACCGTACTAGTCTTCGGAATAAATGACTACTTTTTATATGTATATCGACTTATACATTTCACGATACAACAATGTTCAACCTGTACATGGCTCAAATGCCACTCGAGGTAGAGGCTACAGAATGTGACTCATTTATGCGGATATGTGAAGAAGATAACGGTTAATCCTAACCTTGAAAAAGTTAAGATTGTAGTGATCGGGGGAGTATCCTCTTGGAAGGAACGAAGTTTCGGGCGGCATAGCTCTGACACTACCGTTTACACCCCCCCACCGACTGTGAGGTAAGGGTTGGACTTTGGGGGCTTACAGTACCAGGTGTTCCCAAGCTGTCCACCATCTAAGTACTGACCTGGCTCTACGATGCTTAACTTCGATGATCGAACGAGAACCGGTGTTTCAGCGTGATTTAACCGTAAGGCCACCCAAGGCGGACAGGTCTGACACACACGCCGGCTAACAAGGGCTCTGGTGAAAATCCAAGGAGCGTCTGCATCGGTAACCGGCGGCTTCTGGTCGTTCCTCTCTCTGCGTCTGTGGGAACCCCGCGGCAAGCAAGAACGTTATCCGAGTAGGCCTGGGTACCCTACTTCTGTAATTTATCCCAAGAATCTTCTTCTCATAACAGGAAGAAGCCGGCTCAATCCGCCCAGGGTGAATGCCGCATCAGTACAGTACAGTATCCTCTTGGAAGCAGCGGTTCCTGGGAAATTAAAAATATAAAATGGCGACAATTTAAGCATCACACCCTATACATGTTTCTGTGGACATAATTCCCAGAGGCGGTGATATGTGTTTTATGCTGTGGTTTTGTTAAAGTTTGGGGTACAGTTAGATTTCTGAAATATATGGCTTAATGTCATGAAAGAGTTATTTCATGTTTGATGATTCTTTGGTTGGTTGATTTTGTTTAGCGGCATATCAACACCTCTATGGGTTATAAAATGCCGAAATGATTCTACGCCCCTCAAAACCTCCAATCTCCCTACCAGATGCCAGATGTAGTTTATTGCCATACATCACTAGTTGATCAGTCAATGTATATCGAATGTTTCCTTATAAGGAAACGGCTAATATTGCCATCACAACCACCACACAAAATCAAGAAAAATTAGACATATGGAATAACCATAAGTTTTATTCAGAACATGCATCCCCGAATATCAACCAGATAAAAACTAATATATTGAAAATATTTTTAAAATCATCCACTATCCTAGCTATACAATGCCAAATGAAAAGCATACATAATCCAAGAAGTATTAGGGATGTTATAATACCTAAAAACTTTATAACTAATAAACTTGAATGCCATTTAACTGATCTCATTTAAAAAAAAGAAACATAGATAAAATCTAATTTCTATAATGATACAGTTAAAATAAAAATCAAGAGGATAGTCGCTTAATGTGAATCACGCTTTGTCTCAACATAAATCCCGTTTTGTTTCGTTTAACGTAAATATCATTTTCCTGATCTCTCAATCAACCAGACCACTCAATAATTGGAAAAGGAAAGAAAAATTATATCCATTCTCCTTAAAACGAAAGTTTATCTTTTCTCTGTCTATACAGTTTTTTTACGATCAACAAACCACACAGACTTTTTTGTCCATAGTCACTTCAAAATAACAATTAATTTTTCCTTTTGTTTTAGAAAGAGAAACAACAGCAACCTGATGATGACAGCGTATTAATGTCGAAAGCGCTTTGGATAAAAGAATATGTATCAGCATGGTAATTTTTTCTCTTCCTTTAGTATGGATACTAAGAAGCTTGTCCGTGAATATGACAGGTTCCTATTGAAAATATGTAGACAAAACTTGCTTGAATTATTCACAAGTGACATGTCTTAATGAAAACATATGCCAATATATATATATATATATATATATATATATATATATATATATATATATATATAATTATATATATATATATATATATTAAAGACATTTTATGTTTAACGTTCTTTTTTATAGATACAAGTATTTAAGTAAATGCTCTGTTTATAATAAACAGTATTAAATAACATTTACCGGCCTGAATGTCCGAGAAATTTTCATAGAAAATATTCGTCCTTTGACAGGATTCGAACCTGCATCCTATTTACTTAAATACTTGTATCTATAAAAAGAACGTTAAACATAAAAAATGTCTTTAATAAATAAATTGTCGGACTTTGTCCATTTATATATATATATATATATATATATATATATATATATATATATATATATATATATATATATATATTATATATATATATAATTATTTTCTTTTAAAAATATGATTCCATCATGAAACAGAAAATTTACATGTTTCAAAACTTAAATTAAATTTATAAATTTAATTATAAAAATTAAACTTAAAATCTATAGTCTTGTTCCATTGTCAAGCGATGCTAGGAATAACTTTCTAAGAAATTTACTTAATTTATAAGCGCAGACAATATTGATATTATGAGTTGTTAAGGTTAAGGAAAATTCTGTCTATTTTAATTTAGGGGTTGTCGTGTTTTAATTTCCATAGACAGCTTATGTATCCAATATCTGTTGCTTACTCACTCAGGATAAGTTTAGGTGGGATGAGGCTGCCTGCTAACAAACGTATACTTCCGTTATTCAGCGAGTCGTCTGGGTTTTCAATGACAAAAAAATTGGCATTTTTATTCATCCGCTTAATTCATATTTTTATACACAAAGATTTTCTAAAAGTGTCAATAAAAAAAGTCATATTTTTATTTTAATTCTAATTTTTATAATTAAATTTATAAATTTAGTTTCTGTTTTGAAACATGGAAATTTTCTGTGTCGCGATGGAATCATAATTTAAAAAGAAAATAATTATAATATTTTGCTCTACTGTTTGTATCGATCAGTTTTTTTAAATAAAAATAATTGCTAAGAACTCCGGATTATAAATCTTACTGTTCTTTCTTATTTTTTATTATTATATATATATATATATATATATATATATATAATATATATAAAAGATAAAAGATAAAATGGGAAAAAATTTTTGTAAACGTGTTTCGACCTTCAAAAACACTTCATCGGACTAAAATAATATTCATATTGATGGAATTATATAAAAAAACGTTTATAGTTATCCACCCTAATAAAACGTAGAAGATATAAATATATAAAATATATGTCAATATATAAACAATAACTACAACAAACCCACCTAGGGTTGTTATTATTCTTTATATGTCTATCATACGGTATGTTCCCAGGCTTGTAAGACATTTGTAGCTGGGTCAGTGGTATAATTCTGAACTCGGCGATCGGATGACACATCAGAACAACCCTGTATCTGGCTCACTTTGTGGCGTGCTGTTATATTCAGTGCAAAGTCTATCTTGGCGTAATCTGGGGTGAGACACCCTTTAAACGATTAACTGCAGAAACAAACGAACGTGACAATTTCGTTGGTAATTGCTGTCTCACTTTGTGCATAGTTTCAAATAAAATCTACTGTATATTTGTTGCTATCATTCTTGTAAAGTGTAGGTACAACTATATGTGTCAGTGTGTGAAAATTTAGAAAATCTTAAAAAAAACACGATGTCACATCAAGACCTTTTAATTTTCCAGCAAAATCACTGCCTTGGAACAAATGAAAAAGAAAGTTGATGCGATGTTTGATGTCAACGATCGCCTGTCGAGACAAACTCTGGCGTGATGTGACATGACACAAAGGAAGAGAACAAAGACGATCTTAATGAAGAAAACAAACAGACAAAAAGTATGGCGTCGAAGAACTTCTAAATTTAGACAACTTCATTGATTTTGTTAACATGGAATCACTTTAGAGCTTAGAGAATATTACATTCATGGAATCACGTCGGTGACTTCAAACTACTCTCTAATGGCAGACCTAAAAATTTTAAGTGTGAATCTGTCATTTGACCGGAACTTTCTCGCTTCCGGTCAAATGGCACTTCATCACGAAAGTTTTCATTTATTTACTCCCCTTCACTTCGGAACGATAGTGACCGCTTCGAAGACCTCGTTTTTAAAGTTTACTGTTTACGCAGTCATAAAACCTGACCTAAATAATCTTACACTTAATCTATTCAATAAATATATAGTGTTTATTATTTTTGTTGTAAATTCTCAAGAACAGGGAAAATATATAAATTCACTTTGATATGTTTAGGTTACAATTCTAATCATCGCTTTTTAAAACAATAAACATTACCGACGAATTAAGGTAGTTAAAATAATAGCGGTGTCAAGGGCAAAAGCTTCCTTTTGACATTTCGTTTTTTTTTTTTTTTTTTTGCGGGCACGAAGAAGTAAAATCAAATAGGATGGTGGAAACAAAAAAAGGAAGGAAATAACTCGAAAGGATATAGAAATATAAAAAAATAAAATAAGATTAAGGACAATAAAAGAAATGAACGGGAAAGAAAGAAAGAAAGAAAGAAAGAAAGAAAGAAAGAAAGAAAGAAAGAAAGAAAGAAAATGAGAAGAAGAAGACAAAGAAAGAAAGAAAGAAAGAAAGAAAGAAAGAAAATGAGAAGAAGACAAAGACAGGGAAGAAAGGTAAAGAAAGAAAGAAAGAAAGAAAGAAAGAAAGAAAGAAAGAAAGAAAGAAAAAGAAAACGAGAAGAAAACAACAAGAGGGAACTGGGGCAAAGAAAGAAAGAAGGAAAGAAAGAAAAAAGAAGACAAAGAGAGGGAAAAAAGGCAAAGAAAGAAAGAAAGTAAATGAGAAGAAGAAAAAGAAAGAAAGAAAGAAAGAAAGAAAGAAAGAAAAAAATGAGAAGGAGACAAAAGAGGAAACAAAGGCAAAGTAAAAGAAAGAAAGAAAGAAAGAAAGAAAGAAAGAAAGAAAGAAAAATGAGAAGGAGAAATGAGAAGGAGAAACAAAAAAGAAAGAAAGAAAGAAAGAAAGAAAGAAAATGAGAAGGAGACAAAGAGAGGAAACAAAGGCAAAGAAAGAAAGAAAGAAAGAAAGAAAGAAAGAAAGAAAGAAAGAAAATGAGACGAAGTGAAAGAGAGGGAACAAAGGCAAAGAAAGAAGGAAAAAAGAAAGAAAGAAAATCAGAAGACGAAAAGAGAGAACAAAGGCAAAGAAAGAAAGAAAGAAAGAAAGAAAGAAAGAAAGTGTCAGTGATTGAGTGCAGACAAAGATGATGTAAATAATATATAGATCGCCAAAAGAAAAAAAAGTTACCTCTAACTACTTAGTCATTGATTCTTTGAATACCTCCCCGGCTCTTTGACAGATTTTGGTTTTATTCCTACTTTGTTGCTTTCCATTATACCACGGATAGTTTTTTTTAACAATATGTACTCTTACGTGCCAAAAGTCATGATGGCAAGTATCGTGTAGGACCTCCTCTAGCTCAGTGCAACAACACGACATGGCATTGATTCCATAAGCTACCGGGAGATATCTGGAGAGGTATTGTGTCATGCATGCTCTCTAATATTTGTGCGGGGGAAAAAGACCTCTCCATAACGTTCTATAAATTCTCAATTGTGTTCATGCAGGACAAACGTACTGACCACAACATTCACCAGTGTATCCAATAATGTTTATTATTTTTATTGTAAATTCTCAAGGACAAAGAAAATGTATAAATTCACTTTCTTCATATGTTTAGTTTTTATTACAATTTTAATATAAAATTGAAATTAATCTACTGAAATAATAATAATTATCTAAGGATGAAGTATCTATCTAATATCTACATTTAAATCCACATATTTCAAGTTAAACCTATATTAAATAATTCACATCTACATTGAAAAAAAGTTAATACTTATCGTCTAATAGATAATATAATGAACCAATAAGAGGAAGATTAAATAAAAGAAAAAATCAGCTCTAAAATTAGAAAAAAATTGCCTTTAGAATAAAGCGAAAGAAGACGTATATTTAGAATAAATTTTATAACACTATATAATAAATAATTAAATATATTAATATAATTCATTTATAGTAAAAAAAAATTGAAATAATATATTAAATATTATATTAAAAAATACTATCATTTTTTCTGATATATTGTTTATTTTAATATACCTTTGATTCTGAATTAACTCTCTTTCATATAAACGGGATTTTCTCTTTAATATAATATTATTTTGTTATTATATTTAGGAAGGGTTTAAGAACTGCGTTTTGTCTGTTACTGGGTATAAAATAAATGGGTCATTTCTTCTCTCTCTCTCTCTTTTCTCCCTTTTATTTTCTATTCCTTTCTCACCTAACCACCCCCTCATATCAAGACTTACACTACTTCCTTGTTTTTATTTGCCCTCTTTTTTCCATTTTTCTTCCCTTCTTTCCTTTTTCTGTTTAGCCAATTTTATTTCAATAATTTATCATCCACTGACTGGCTTGAAAAATCCTTGTAAATTTTATTTCAATTTACAAGGTGAAAATGATCATTAACCTAATGTAATCTTTGTTCCTATTGTATAAAATATATGTGTGTGTGTGTATGTGTGTGTGTGTGTGTGTGGAGGATGTCTAATAGTATCCGAAACAAAAGATGAGACAAATTGGAAAATTTACTAACGACGCGTTTTACCGAGACGGTCTGCTCTCTTTGGCTTCCTCGGGTTAAAATGAAAGAAAGACAAAACTGTATGTGATTAAAAATGCCTTGGGATCTCTGAGGATAAGTAGCAATCATAAATCAAATTAAATTAGATACCTTCTCTACTCCAAATATCCAAACAAAAGAGAATGTCTGTCCGCCTGTTTGTTTTATCTATAATGTGTATATGCACGCATGTGTTTCTATAAACGGAATTACGTAAGAGTAACCGGAACAAAGTTTTGTTTACGGTTCAATGACCACAAGAAAACCTCAGGGACAACAACAACAAAAATTTACCGGTTTCTGTACACTTCAACCAACCTGGTCCTAACATCGATAATGTCGGGTGAGTGCTTTTTGCGTTTTGGTTCACTATCCGGGAGGACACATGCAATTCGGAGTTGAAGTATATCCTAGAAGTAAATTCTCGCATAGAGGGATTAAACAGGTATTTGGGTTTACTCAGAAAATATAATTTCCGTAAGGAAACCCATTTCCAGCAACGTCACTCCTCGGATGAGTAAGACCTTCACGCGTATTTTAACTCTAAATTTTAATTGCCATCACCCGATTTACCTACTATATTTTATGTTCTACCACCTATGATCTCCCTCATATCATGCACTATTCAGTAATGGAAATATTTCCCTGTACCCTGAGGGCTCCTTTCCAGTTACCCTATTTTATACCAACATTGATTCTATCACTATGGCTTCTTTACATATAAATCTTATGTAAGGAGTACGGAATGTTAGTGTAGATACATATTAATCTTGTATATGTATTTATGTTAACGTGTATTGAGATTTATATGTTTATGTAGTGGCTTGTGTATATTAACACACTGTTATGTACACATGTGCATTTACATATGTATACGTTTTTCCTCTCACTTTTTTAAAAAAATTTTCTTTTATTTTCTGTACCCTCTTTTTATTGTTAACAATAGATTTCCAAATTTGTATCCACATTTTTATCCATTTATCTGTTCCTTCACTTTTTCTTTCCATTTCATTTTATTTAATATTTTATTATTATATATTTCATTTATTTCCTCCTCATCTTTTGTTAATCGCATCATATTCTAAACATAGCCCATCTTTCTACACTTGACAACTTGGTCCGACAATTTTTGCTACAATTTACGACACGCGAGATGTTTTTCCCCCTCTCCAACCTATAACTCTCTTCATCTATATTTACAATCTCACTCCTCTCACGACACACACTAGTTAAAATGGACCTGCCTAACGCTTTTACACGGATGGAAATTTAAAATTTAAGTTTATTTTTATAAAAAGTTTCGCTCATCGAGGAATCAGAGTTTTGGGTTTTGCTAACAATACGATTTCCACTGGAAAATATCTGCCGGTGAGTAATTCCCATTTCTCTTTTTATTCCTCGGTCCGTTGATAAAGGACACAGGTGTGTCCGAAATTTCCGAACTTAAAAACTTTCTTTCTGGGCTTCATTTATGTCATATGGTTAATAATTAATATTTAATAAATTTTTATCGTACTAATACGATGTAGGTTCCCTTTCGTTTGTCCTTGTTTTATTAATTAACCTATATATATATATATATATATATATATATATATATATATATATATATATATATATATATATATGTATGCTCCTGAAAATTTTATTTCGGTTGAGCTCTCTGGGGAGGAAGTGTGGGTTTGTAAACAGTGACTATTACGGCTAATAATGCATGACTCTTCGGTAAATCGAATCGAGTTCTCTCAGTCACTGTGTTTTTATCTAAAATTAAATACGCTTAAATTCACCTTCATCGTGGTAGAATCCCCGACTGACGCCAATTCAGTCGGGTTTCGATCCTAGCTAGAGGCAACTGGACGTCTAGCCACATTGATGAGCTGTGATACAGCGAAACACTCTGTCTGTGGATGACTATATATATATATATATATATATATATATATATATATAGAGAGAGAGAGAGAGAGAGAGTAGTCTTGATAGATATGAGCCGAATGGACACATATGAAGAGATCTAGAAAGAATGAAAGCTTAGATGTGGCACAAGGTCATCGAATTTTCCTCTCTGTGGTAATTCATCTAGCAAGACAAGCTTATTAACCATTACGCCTCGTCGAAGTAAGACTTGCGTGATTGATCAACACCAAAATAACTGAAAATGGTTTTTAGCGCACCTTATCCCATTAATGTCCACCGTTTTGGATAGAAAGATAAAATGAATACCAGATTTATTTTAGAAACCTCTCATTTATACTGGATTTTTATTTTAATTTTTTTTTTTTTTATAATTACTACCGGATTTTACGGTATTGATTAAGATTTCAAAAATATCTCTTGGAGATATTTAAATAAATAATTGCTTGCGTGGGCGGAGCTTTTCCATTGATTTCCAGGAGAGCCAAGTTGGTTTCCAAACACACACACGCACACAGAAACACATACACATACACACATGCACAGACACGCACGCGCGCGCACACACATACATACATGCATCCCCACATATACTTTCGCCGCTGCACTTGGACAGTCCGCATAATTCTTGGCTGCAAATAGTTCTTGTCTGTTGAGCAGTAACCGTTACAATGGTTTATCTCATTGAACGACTTCCTTCAAACTTTAGCTTTGCAGACCTTATCAAAAATTAATCATCTGTTCGTAATCCACCACGTTTTCCTTCTTCTATGTTGATTTACTTTCCTATTTTATTCTCCTCTTTTATTTCTACTCGAGTTCATTCCTTGTCTTTCCTTTTCTTTCTTTCAATCCTTTCTTTTCTCTTTTCTTTTTTCTACTTTCTGTTTTCTTTTTTGTTTTTATTTTTTCGTCTCTTCTCCATTTCTTTCTTTCTTTTTTCTTTTTTTTTTTCTTTTTTCTTACACTTTCTTTCTTTCTTTCTTTCTTTTCTGTCTGTTTTTCTTTCTTTCTTCCTTTTCTTTTTTTACCTTTTTCTTTCTTTTTTCTTCCTTTTTCTTTTCTTTTTTTTCTTTCTTTCTTTCGTTTTCTTTTAGGTTTTTCTTTCTTTTTTCTTTCTTTTCTTTCTTTCTTTCTTTTCTTTTAGGTTTTTCTTTCTTTTTCTTTCTTTGTTTTCCCACACTCTTTCTTTGTTTGCTGTTTTATTTATTTCTTACATTTTGGGTCTTTCTTTTTCTTTCTTTCTTTCTTTCTTTCTTTCTTTCTTTCTTTCTTTCTTTCTTTCTTTCCTTTTAGTTTTTTTTCTTTCTCTTTCTTTGCTTTCCTCCACTCTGTGTTTGTTTGTTTTGTTTGTTTGTTTGTTTGTTTTGTTTCTTTCTTTCTTTCTTTCTTTCTTTCTTACCTTTTAGGTTTTTCTTTTTCTTTCTTTCTTTTCCTCCACTCTTTCTTTCTTTCTTTCTTACTTTCTTTTTTACCTTTTACGTTTTTCTATATCTTTCTTTCTTAGCCCTTAGGTCTTTGAAGTTCACTTATGCGCAAATACCCTTGCGAAAAGTATGAATCCATCTTCATTCCCAGCTGAGTTAAATAATAGGCATTGAATTTGGAATAATTATTGTTATCCTCAAATATTTTTTAGTGTAGAAAAAAAAAAAAGATTTATTCTTTCAATCCAAAATCTGCTTCGGCTTCAAATAAACGACAAATTCATCAAAAGCAAAACAATCGAATGTCTTCTCGCATTTCTCATTTATCTTTCTTTTATTATAACGTTTTTCTTTCTTTGCTTTCCTCCCCTCTGTGTTTGTTTGTTTTTTTGTTTCTTTCTTTCTTTCTTTCTTTCTTTCTTTCTTTCTTTCTTTCTTTCTTTCTTTCTTTCTTCCCTTCTTTCTTTCTCCTTTATTCCTTTCTTTCTTGCTTCAATTCATTTTTCTTTCTTCAATACTTTCTTCTTATTTTCTTCAATTTCTCTTTCATTTAATAGATTCTCACTGGCTTTCGTTCCAATTCTACAAAATCTTTCTTTCTTTCCTTTTTTTTTCTTTCTTTCTTTCATTTTTTTTCTTTCTTTCTTTCTTTCTTTCTTTCTTTCTTTCTTTCTTTCTTTCTTTCATATCATTGTTTTCAATTTCTCTTTCATTTTTCCTTTAAAATATTCTCACTGTCTTTCGTTCCAATTTTACCAAATTCTTTCTTTTTTCTTTCTTTGATTTCTTTCTTTCTCTCATTCCTTCTTTATTTCTTTATTTCGTTCTTTTTATTTTTCAATTTCTCTCATTTTTTCTTTAATATATTCTCACTGTCTTTCGTTCCAATTTTACCAGATTTCTTTATTTATTTCTTACTTTCTTTTTTCTTTTTCTTTTTTCTTTCTTTTTCTTTTTTTCTTTCTTTCTTTCTTTTTTCTTCTTTCTTTCTTTTTTCTTCTTTCTTTATTTCGTTCTTTTTATTTTTCAATTTCTCTTTCATTTTTCCTTTAATATTTTCTCACTGTCTTTCGTTCAAATTTTAACAAATTTCTTTCTTTCTTTTTACCCCTCATAACTTTTTCCATTTGTCCTTTCTTTCAAAATTCCTTACCAATCTCTATTCCTCGACGATGACCCGTTTTCTGTGAATATTGTCTCGTCTCGAATCTTTCTCGTGCAATCAGCTCGGCACTGGACGCCGTCTTCTTTTACAAACCCGACCAAAATCGATAAAAAGAATCACCTCACAATTCTTTACCTGCACCGAGTAGCGGTCCGAACATCTCTACCCAGCTGATAACACCCTGCATTACCCACGACCGTATTTTTCCTGCTACGTGTGCTAGTTTTAACTGTACATTGTAGACATTCCTACCCCATTCTTTGTGTCGCTTTACTGAACAACGTTTATCTCCTTTCATTACAACATGGCCGTTCTTTTCTCTTTTTTTAACCACTGTAGTGTAGATTAAACTATTACACATTATGTCGTTTATTGCTAGGAATATTTACTCGCTAAATTGAACGTAAAAATTACATCGTAGCAGCATTAATACCTGGTATTTATTTTGTGCAGTTTATACTGGAAAAGAATGTCTGTCGACTTTAAACGGAAAATCCTATGAATTTTATTAATATTTCCACGTTTATTTTTCTCAATTATAGAATATACTAACTGGAAGTGTCCTGGATATTGGTTCATGGGAAATTAGGAAAAATACAAAAAATGAATTTATATCAGTACAAGGTTTTACCATGAAAAACAAAAGAACTGGTGCATATTATTATTATTATTATTATTATTATTATTATTTCCTTTGATTTCTGGCGTTTACACATTTCTTTCCGGGTCCCGCCCAGAGACCTAAGGTTAGAAATGGCATCATGACACTTTCCACTGCCCAAAAAAAAAAATTTACATAGATAAAAGCCTTCGTAAAGTGTGGGTTGTACTTGTGAGAACAATTTTTTGTATTTCTTTGAGGTATGGAATTCCAGGGATTCCTTCAAATCATAGATATGATCTTAAGATTTGGCAATGAGTACATTGACGGCTGGTCACAACCATCAGCGTATCATGCTACTTCTTCCTGACTCTAAGTGTTTATAACCACCCAACCCAAATTATTTTTACCATTTCTAAGAGGCTATCTTTCTATAACGGTTCCACTGGGCTGTCAGTGCCAGTCTTCTTTACCTATGTCTCTATTCTGTCAGTCACCATACCAAGAGTACCAATATCTAATGGTTTGATCGTAATTAACCTCAGCATTCATTCCAATGAAGGATGATAGTCTCTGTTTTGGAAAAGTTTATCTTGAGCCCTATTTCTTGGAACACTTGAGAGAGGATGTTGATCTTTTTCTTCACGATCGTTAACTATGAAAACCTATATCCTCAGCATGCCCTTCTCATCATCAATTCTCCATCTTTGGGAGGGAAAGTAAGAACACAGGGCATAATCTAAGAAAAGATTAAATAAATTCGAACTTGCATTTTCCTCCTGATGAGATTTAAAATTCATTCGTATTGGGGCCTTCACAAGATATATAATATTTTGCGGACTGATATAGTTCCTCTATCAGATTTTTTTAATCATTCCACCCCAAGCAAGGCGATAATGCCACTAGGACGGAGAAGTTTACATGGCGTGAAAGTGAATGAGAAAAAGTTAGTGAGGAAAAGCACAATAAATGAACAGGACTCAGGAATTCAGAAGATGGTGACTGACGTTGAATTTAAACTTTTGAAGATTGTAAGTGGCAGGGAAGTAGTCAAGCAGAATGAAGTTTCACAGGCAAGAAGTGCGACAAAAGACTGGCAGGCTCAAAAGTAAAACGGTGAGATTTAGTTGCCAATCTTGTAGTATGCTAAAAGTCATGTAGATGTGACATTAAGGTAAAAGGCGCATCGGAACAATTGCCATGAAAATATTTGTAGAAAAGACAGAGGGAAGCCACGTTACGTCGGTGAAAAATAACTGAAGTCGAGATGCAAGGACAGTGTTTGAATTTTAAAGAATCTCAAGATATATAGTAGAAGACAAAACCAGTTATACCAGCAGGATTTAATGCACACACGAATGATAGATTTATAAATATGCAAGATGGGTGTGTTTATTTTGTTTTACGGTTTCTCAACCTCAATGTCTTAATCAATGCCGATAAAAATTCTATTGCTGGAAACATTTTGATTTTCAAAAATGTATAGATGGTAAATTGTTTTTTCAAAAATGTATAGCTGGTTTTATTATGGATGGGTTTAGTTTGGTTTATTTTGGTTTACGGCATATAAAACTCGATTAGTTATTTAATCCCGACAACATTTTTATGATAGATTCGTATGAATAGAATATGTATTCTTTGGTTTAGATTGGTTTGGTTTATTTTGTTTAACGACATATCAGCCTCATTGAGTTATTTAATGTCGACAACATTTCTGGGATAGATTCGTAACAAAAGAATATGTATTCTTTGGTTTAGATAGGTTTGGTTTATTTTGGTTTACGGCATATCAACCTCAATGTGTTATTTAATGCCGACAACATTTTTAGAATAGATTCATATGAATAGAGTATGTATTCTTTGGTTTAGATTGGTTTGGTTTATTTTGTTTTACGGCATATCAACCTCAATGGGTTATTTAATGTCGGCAACATTTTTAGGATAGGTTCGTATGAATAAAATATGTATTCTTCGGGTTAAATTGGTTTGGTTTATTTTGTTTAGCGGCATATCAACCTCAATAGGTTATTTTATGTCCAGAACATTTTTAGGATAGGTTCGTATGAATAAAATAAGTATTCTTTGGTTTAGATTGGTTTGGTTTATTTTGTTTAACGGCATATCAACCTCAATGGGTTATTTAATGCCGACAACATTTTTAGGATAGGTTCGTATGAATAAAATATGTATTCTTTGGTTTAATTTGGTTTGGTTTATTTTGTTTAACGGCATATCAACCTCAATGGGTTATTTAATGCCGACAGCATTTTTAGGATAGATTTATAAATAGAATATGTATTCATTGGTTTTGATTGGTTTGGTTTATTTTGTTTAACGGCATATCATCCTCAATGAGTTATTTAATGTCGACAACATTTTTAGGATAGATTCGTATGAATAAAATATGTATTCTTTGGTTTAAATTGGCTTGGTTTATTTTGTTTAACGGCATATCAACCTCAATGAGTTATTTAATGCCGACAACATATTTAGGATAGATTCGTATAAATAGAATATGTATTCTTCGGTTTAGATTGGTTTGGTTTATTTTGATTTACGGTAAATCAACCTCAATGGGTTATTTAATGTCGACACCATTTTTAGGATAGGTTCGTATGAATAAAATATGTATTCTTTAGTTTAAATTGGTTTGGTTTATTTTGTTTAACGGCATATCAACCTCAATGGGTTATTTAATGCCGACAACATTTTTAGGATATATTCGTATAAATAGAATATATATTTTTCGGTTTAGATTGGATTGCTTTATTTTGTTTTACAGCATATCAACCTCAATGGGTTATTTAATGTCGACACCATTTTTAGGAGAGGTTCGTATGAATAAAATATGTATTCTTTGGTTTAAATTGGTTTGTTTTATTTTGTTTAACGGCATATCAACCTCAATGAGTTATTTAATGCCGACAACATATTTAGGATAGATTCGTATAAATAGAATATGTATTCTTCGGTTTAGATTGGTTTGGTTTATTTTGTTTTACGGTAAATCAACCTCAATGGGTTATTTAATGTCGACACCATTGTTAGGATAGGTTCGTATGAATAAAATATGTATTCTTTGGTTTAAATTGGTTTGGTTTATTTTGTTTAACGGCAAATCAACCTCAATGGGTTATTTAATGCCGACAACATTTTCAGGATAGATTCGTATAAATAGAATATGTATTCTTTGGTTTACATTGGTTTGGTTTATTTTGTTTAACGGCATGTCAACCTCAATGGGTTATTTAATGCCGACAACATATTTAGGATAGATTCATATCAATAGAATATGTATTCTTCGGTTTAGATTGGTTTGGTTTATTTTGTTTTACGGTATATCAACCTCAATGGGTTATTTAATGTCGACAACATTTTTAGGATAGTTTCCTATGAATAAAATATGTATTCTTTGGTTTAGATTGGTTTGGTTTATTTTGTTTAATGGCATATCAACCTCAATGTGTTATTTAATGCCGACATCATTTTTAGGATAGATTCGTATAAATAGAATATGTATTCTTTTGTTTTGATTGGTTCGGTTTATTTTGTTTTACGGCATATGAACCTCAATGGGTTATTTAATGCCAACATTTTTAAGATATATTCGTATAAATAGAATATATATTCTTTGGTTTAGATTGGTTTGGTTTATTTTGTTTAACGGGCATATCAACCTCAATGGGTTATTTAATGCCGACACTATTTTTAGGATAGATTCGTATGAATAGAATATGTATTCTTTGGTTTTAAATTGGTTTGGTTTATTTTGTTTAACGGCATATCAACCTCAATGGGTTATTTAATGATGACAACATTTTTAGCATAGATTCGTATAAATAGAATATGTATTCTTTGGTTTTGATTGGTTTGGTTTATTTTTTTTTACGGCATATCAACCTCAATGGGTTATTTAATGTCGACAACATTTTTTAGGATAGGTTCGTATGAATAAAATATGTATTCTTTGGTTTAAATTGGTTTGATTTATTTTGTTTAACGGCATATCAACCTCAATGGAATTATTTAATGCCGACAACATTTTAGAATAGATTCATATGAATAGAATATGTATCCTTTGGTTTTGATTGGTTTGGTTTATTTTTTTTACAGCATATCAACCTCAATGGGTTATTTAATGCCGACAACATTTTTAGGATAGGTTCGTATAAATAGAATATGTATTCTTTTGGTTTAAATTGGTTTGGTTTTTTTTTTTAACGGCATATCAACCTCAATGGGTTATTTAATGTCGACAACATTTTTAGGATAGTTTCCTATGAATAAAATATGTATTCTTTGGTTTAGATTGGTTTGGTTTATTTTGTTTAATGGCATATCAACCTCAATGTGTTATTTAATGCCGACATCATTTTCAGGATAAATTCGTATAAATAGAATATGTATTCTTTGGTTTAGATTGGTTTGGTTTATTTTGTTTAACGGCATATGAACCTCAATGGGTTATTTAATGCCGACAACATTTTTAAGATAGATTCGTATAAATAGAATATGTATTCTTTTGTTTTGATTGGTTCGGTTTATTTTGTTTTACGGCATATCAACCTCAATG